GCAGCTTCTAGTAACAGTTCAACTGGCCTTTAATCGTTGTTTCAAAACTGGGTCTCCATGGGAATCTTTCAATCCTATATCCTGAGGTTTCTTCAGCCCAGGGCAGCCCATCTGTCTTGCAGCTCAGAGCACTTAGAGTCCATGCATGCACTGTGCCTTATATCACAGTTCTCATCCAGCACCGGTCTTCTTTGGGACTGGTAGCTGTCCTGACAGAATTTCTTTTTTGTTTGCATTTTGCCTTATTACATACAGTTTCTCCAGCATAGTGCATCCATGAGGCAAGTGTAGGAAAGACAAGAGTTGCCACCTTTCTCAGCCCCGTGGAAGGCTGTGAGTGCCCACCCCGCAATGTCTGATGTTCTCTGACTTGATTCCAGGGCTGCCTATGAAGTACAGCAATGGAACATGACCTACTTTTCTGTGCAAAGTAACTACAGTTTGTAGAGGAGGGAAACTGAGAACTGAGGAAAGGTCTCCAGGTTGCACAAAGCAGGGAGAAGATGCACTGCATCATCTCATGAAGGTCACTCCGTGCCTGTTTCACTCTGGATTCTTATTGTGGGAGATCTCTATTCTCTCTTGAAAAGCAGGGAATCTTGTTTTGGCTCCTCTGAGACCAGCCAATGAAACCTCAGGGTTTCTCTGCAAAAAGAAGCCCTTCCCATGCCTCATCTCCTGCAGGAGATCCATCCGGTGCTGTAGGTGGGGGCTGTGCCACCACCCAGTCTGTCTGTGCTGGGGAGGGTTGTGGCTCAGGGTCACTTCTCTCCTGATGCAGCACTGTGATGGCCCTGTGGTCTGTGCATGTTTGTGATGTTTTTTAATTGAAAACTTAAGCAGTTAAACTGCTTCCTTGATGCCCTGGTGGTTGCTAAGATACAAACTCTCAGATTCTGTAAATCTTCCACTTGAAATACGCTGCACTGGCAAATGGGTTGTTCATCTGTGACAGCTGAGGACATGGGGAGATGATGGCACTCAGCAGCACACTGACCAGAACTGCTCCTGCTGCCTCCAGAAGGGACCCGGTGTGCTTTTGGTGGCTTCTGGCCACGCTGTGTGATCCGAGGCTAAAAGGGGAACGTGGAATGCATAGCAGAGAGCAGGCATGGAGGCAGCATGGGGGCACTTAGGGGATGTGACAGCATGGTGATAACAAGGGAAATTGTTTCTGTCCCCCAACTTCCATAGCTTCAAGCTGCAGTTGCCATTCTTGAGCAAAAGCCAACTCTGCCCTTTGATGAGAGATGGATTTTGGGAGAGTCTGAGTTTGAGGCTGTCTGGGTAGGGCAAGCTTTTCCTGGGGACAAGCTGTGCAAACAGACCTTTCTTGCAGCCCCACAATGGGATGAGGAGATACTAGCTTTAAGGGTAGCACTGGATTGCTGGAGGTTCATAAGCAGTATTGCAGCAACTGCCCCAAACAGCTGTTTTTTAGAAGCCTGTCCAAGCCCTGTTCATTCAAAAAATGTTGGAGGAAGGCAGCGTGACGTGTTCTGCTCCAAAGTAAGTCTTTAGCTGTTAAGGCAGCAGAGGGAATGTTAATACTGTTGACACAACGCAATTGATGCAGCAGCATCTATCTGGGTTTGCAGAAGCCTGGATCAATAGCTGTGAGAAATGGAGACCGCAGCTGCTCCTCTCACACTGTGTTACAGAGATGTCAGAGGGTGACAGTGGGTCAGGTAGGTGATAGTGGAAATGGCTCTGCTCTCCTCCCCACCTCTTACACAACACAGCTCGAGATGTGCGCAGATTTACTGTGAGCCTTGTCTCCTGCATCAGACAACTCACAGTGCCAGCATTGCCAATAGAAGAACTTGGTCCTGTAATTAAAGTTAGTATCTGCTTGGGGAATCTCACGGGTCAGCATGCCCACAGTACCAGTGTTAGTTTTCAGACAGAGTGCAGAAAAATATCGGGCATTCTTTAATGGTCACTACCATGGGTGTTGTTCTTTTGAGCGCCCGTATGGAACACATCTAGTCACTGTGATAAAATAATTGTTTAATGGAAACGTTGGTTTAAATGTCTTGTCCTACTCACTGACTGTCTTTGCTTAGCAAATGGCAAGACAAGTAGTTACCTGTACCTTGACGGGGTGAGCTGTGTTTGGGGAAGCTTTTATAGCTGTAGGAACACAAGAGTTTGCTCTGTCAGGTGCTTCGTCACCAATGCCTGGCATCTCAGTCTCGACTTACGAACTCAATCAAGGAGTTGTGCTCACCTTCATGTGAGTGAAAGTTTGATTCTAGTCCAATTTCAGAGAGAATTAAAACAAGAAAATCACTGCTATTAAAAGCTTTCACTGCCAAGCAACACTTTCCAGGATCCGTGTCACACTGCCGTGCACTTTGACCATCCATGCTGTTTCATGGCTTCACAAAACCAAGGAACCCTGTTCCAAGCTGCTAAAAAAATTAGGCCTAATTCTTTATCTCTTTATTCCCTCCAGTGATCCTGCTGCCTTCTGAGGTTCTACCACATGGGAAAGATAAGTGAATTCATGTCTAATTTTAGACTTAATGCAACTTACTGAGAAGGCAGCAAATGGAAAAGGATTGCTGTTGGGAGTGGGAGCAAATTGATGGCAATAATGTTACTGAAAACAATCCTTATACTTGCACTCTTAGCAATGATTACTTATCACAACCTTAGAAAAGTTCAAAGGATGCAACTCTACCTGAAAGCAGGGTGACTGCTGGCTGCAAATGGGGAAACCAGTTCATATCAGCGTTCTTCCCATCCCCATTCCACAAAAGGTTAAATTGTTGTATGCTGCTACTAAATAGGCTTTTGTGAATATTTCACGAGCAGACGAGTTGGCCATCTGGATCCTGCTTGTGCTAGGCATTTGGGGATAAGAAGGGAAACTGGAAGGGTAAATAGTGAATTGCTTGATGTATTGGTTTTCAGCTGAGATTCCTCTCTTCGGTATCAAGCCATGTTTGCCCACCTAAATGAGGGGGATTGACCGGGTCTTCCCAAGATGGGAAGGGGGGAGGATGGAATTAGCATGTAAGCTCTGGGAGAGCTGCGCAAGCATTACCCTGCATCATCTAACAGCAGAGGCAAATGCACCCTGGTCTGCATCCAGCACAGGAGCTGACTCAGCCTCTTGGGGTGTAACACGTGTGTGTGCTGAGGTCCCAAGGATCCCAAGCCGCTGGCTCTGTATGGAACATGCAGGCAGGGTTGGCTGGTTGAGATTCAGAATAAAAGCCCAAGGTCAGGGTAAAGCCTCATGGTGGCATGGGATAATTGGGCAGCAGTCGGGACTGGGAGTGAAGCCCTGAGCGAGCCTTTAGTTTGTGTGCCAAACCAGCTTGTTTGGGTTAGGTTGGTTGGTGGGCTTTTATTGCCCCTAGGGCAGAGGCTAAAAGGAAAGGTGGTGAAGAGAAGGGGAGCTGCTCCTCTGCTGACAGCCCTCTGGCTGCTGCTTCCTGGGAGGACACCTGGGATCCCTGTGCAGCGCAGCAGCCCGTCCTCACGGTCAGTGGGAATGAACCACGTGGCTGCGGGTTTTGCCCATGGTTACGTGCGTTCCCTCGCACTGTGCATCCCTTGTTCCACCTGTAGGAGACTGCGGTGCACATCTCTGAGGGCATAACATACCACAACCTGGGCTGCAGCCCAAGGTGGGGAGTGAAAGTGCGTCTCCAGCTGCACGGTCTGTGCGTGCGCTGCTCATCGTGCTGAGCCAGGAAGTCACTCCCTACGTTTGCTCCCCCACTCGCCCCAACACGCTTCAGTCTCTTGCTTTGATCCCTGTGACTTCCCTGCTTTGTAAAAGGAGCCTAACGGGTCTCTCACACCTAGCTTAAAAATAAGCTGTGCCTTGAAGTCATCTACTTGTGCCTTTTTTTGGTTGTATTTTATTGAAAAAGCTGGTATTAACATATTTATATTTTTATTCAACAACAGTTAGCTAATTTGTGCAACACAAAGAATGCAGCCATGAACAACAGCTTTCAAAACAATCAGATTTACCGACTTTACCATCATTTACTCTACACCACTGAAAGCTCAAACTAAAAAGAGAAAGAAAGTTGGAAACGTTCACAATGACGATGTTAACTTTCCGTACATTCAAGAAGACCAGGAAACAACTGTAGTAGCAAAGTCAAAGATGTGAATGAATACTGGTCTTTGAGAGATTTCTATTTACTTCCTCTGTAACCACTCCGTGTTATTTTGGTTGGGTGTTTCATTAGTTTTATAAAGCTCCGAAGATATTTTTATTTCTTTAATTTTAACATGATCTTTTTGGTACCCAGAGCTGTAACAGGGTAAGGTACTTCAAATTAAAAAGGAAAGAAAAAAGAAAGGAGTTGTATTAAGAGCTGCTTTATAGTAAGTTATCTATAGGCTCTTACTTGAGCACGGTGAAGGCTAAATACATGTCTTACAGAACTTCTACCTGTAAATGCCAATATGAGCTCAAAGCAATTTTTTTTTGAGCTGCAAAGATTTGCAAAGGTTAATGAGGAGGCCAGAAGTCAAAGAAATCGAATGACGCCCTTAAGCAGCAGTTTGGCATGAGCAACTTTTCTATACGACTTACCACATCCTTAAACCTCTTTACAAGGAAAAAAAGCGGTTTTGTTGAATCTCGTTAGAGTAAATATGTACACATCCTGTCCGTGCCTGCTGGAGCACACAGCATCTAATAAACAAACGTTCCTCATTCCCTTCAAATTCACCCACACGATTTGTACCGGATGTGTTCAGTATGGCTGGAAACCAATGCGCGTGCGTTTGTGCTTCCACACACAAAATGTACAGCACTGATGTAGAAAACTTCAGACAGGTTTGGCGTGTTGTGTTAAGATGTCTTATAAAAGAGCCACAGGCTTTTTCAGGTCTTTAAAGTAGCTTTTCACCCATCCTTTCCTCCAAAACAAACAGGAAAGCATGCAGATCCCTTTATCAGTCTGTTCTCCACTTACCAAAGACATCAGTGCATAATGGCTTAAAGAAATGGTTTTGTTTTGTTGTTGTTTTTTTTTCTGAGGAGTTTAATATGGGCTCATTAACGCCATCATCTCAGCTGTGCTCTCGTGTTTGTGATTTGTGAAGAAATCCTTTGGGATATCAGTTTTTCTTCCAGAGCTGTTAGGGAGGCAGACAGAACTTTCTTGTGCTTGAAGTTCTCCTAGCACTACACTGTTCCCATGGACTTCCCAAATGGAGCACATAATTCCATGTACTTTCATCCTATTCATTTGAAAGCAAAGACAGATCTGTAAGAGCTATAGATCTCACAGTGATGTGTTTATGTGGAAGAAGGTTTGGTTTGGACTTTGTGTTTTCCTCTTTCTCCAGGAATACCCACATCACCCAGCACTGGGCTCGCTGACATCTCACAGTTCACTGAGCAAAGCCACCTCTCACAGCACCATTCTTCTTATAGCTACAGCTATCACGGCGTTGTTTGTATTCCCCATATGCCAGGACAAGAATAACCATTCTGCACTGAGCAAACATGGGATTTCCTGGAGTGGCCAGCAGAGCTGTGACTTTACTTCCACTGAAGTCAGGATTTGCCTCCAAGGACAGCACTGTTAGCCAAGGCTTCCAGAACTCCCCCCCCAGGCGACAGCGTAGGCTTATGGATTAACTCTGCTGGGCTGTGTTTGAGCAGCCGGTCCCCGAGCAGCAGCAATGCCCAGTTAGGGGGAAAGCTGCTAAATATTAAACAGAGCAAAGAGATTGAGGAAGAACGAACTTCCTGAAACAAGTTGGCTGAGTAACTCCAGCAGCCAGCTGCTTATTCACTCAGGAAGCCAAAGCACAATGTTAGTAATGTGAATACATAATACAAGAGTGCAAAGAAGGGAATGGGACAGGTGACACAGGGCAGCTTCTCACCAGCAGGAATTTGGGAGGCCCTTCCAAGGTGCCACGTGGTCCAAAGGGATGCGGCTACTCATTCGTTCGCGCACAAACAGGCTCAGCTTAGTTGAAAGATGGAAAAATGTTACTGAAAAAGAAATACTGATCAAAAGATTAAAGCAGAAGCTCTAACAGTGTGGTAAGTGTGGGCCGCAGAAGCAGGCAGTGCACCAGAACGACGTGGTCCTGTGAACCACTGAGACCCTCAAAGCACTGACAGGAGCTGAGGAGTCCCAGACCTCCTCAGAACACTCTCCAGCTGTGTAAGTGCCCCTGTGGGATTAAGGAACCGACACAGACCACTGGGCTGGATTTGCAGTCGTGCCTTTTACTCATACAGTTGCAGTGATGAGAATAGTTGGCTTGCCACCAGTAATGATACAGGCTGAGGGATGAAAGGATGCAACCTACAAATCCCACCACAGAAGCCCTAATTTTTGAGAAGATCACATCCTTTTACAACTCTCAAGAGGCTGGTTTGTAGATACAGAGGGGTATTGATAAACCTAGTGCATTTCTGAGTTCACTTTATCCTGAAATATGTAGAGATTGTTTGTCGCTGCTATAGCAATGATGTTCTCGGTCGGGTGCCACGCTGTGTGCAAGATCTTCTTAGTAAAGTCCAAACTGTCGACACTGATGTCATCTTTCCTCCGTTTGCCACCAACGCAGACTCTCCGGGGCTTGAGAATAGCGCGGGGTTTGCTGCTCTCGCGGGATGCCTCCAAGGTCACATCCCGCTTGGTGTTACGGTCAAACATTCGAAAGAAGTTGTTATATGCACCTGTCATGATGACACTGGGGAGAGAAAGAGAGGGTGGAGGGGAAGAACAAAGATATAATTACAGAGCAGCTTGTGGGAGGTCTGCTAACACGAATTCCTCAGGACAGCTGAGCAGCGATGTCTGGATGTCTTCTGGTTTTAGCTGGGAAAGAATAAAACCATGGATTTTCCCCCTCCCAAAGTGAAGTTTTCTCCCTGCCAACGTCTCCTCCTTCCCTCTGAAAGTATTCAGTGAAATGTACAGTTTCCCCAGCAGTGGCACCCTGGCCATTCACACAAACCATCACAACTCAGGACCCCAGCTCCATGAGGGTGACTTCACAAGACAACGATCAGTGCGCCCTGTGCCACAGCCAGACCTCTTCTGACTCTGAGATTACCATGGATCCAGAGACAATCTTTTAAAAAGAAATAGAGTTTGCAAAGTACATTTGTTTTCAAAATAAAACCTTTCTCTTTCTGAAGCTATAGACCTGTTGGCAAGTCTAGACACTTCTAAAATTAATGTATATAATACTTCTTCAAACTGAATGTACAGGTAAATAGGATTCCTTTGTCTCTTGTATAGAAAGTGTGAAGGAGAATTCAAGCCAGGATGTATCTCTGCAGAAAGGGACAAGAACCTTACTTCACTCTGCATAAGTCCCCCATTAATCAGCTTGAAATAATGGTTTCTTCGTTCCCCCATTCCCCAAGGGGAGGCATTTTGTCAGCAGCTTTAAGGAATTCAGGATTTCATCCTCGGCCCTCAGGTTACTGGATTCTTACACACACTCATGGACTTTAAAACCTTGCTTGAGATCTCATCTCCTGCAAAGCTTTTCACTATCCACATCTGTGGGCACACTCTGCTCACCTTTTCTGTCTCAGCCCCAAACACAGTGACTTTCAGCACTTCCATTCCAGAAGGGGAACCCACCCCAAACCACCAGGTAGGTCTCCATGGGAGGAGCTGCACACCGAGTTCGAAGACAGATGTAGGCAGTCAGTCGATATCTGCCTGCTCAGTACAGCCAAACAAGCGTATTTCACGCACTCTGCATTTAACAAACTAATCTCCACCACGGGTGACAGCCGCACTGCTTTCATATTTTGCTGTCTCCTGCCTGGGGGGATCTGCTCAGCCAGCCAACAGAGCTGCACACCCAGCAGTGGCACAATGCAAAGTGCGAGCTGTGCTCTCTGCCCTGCACACCAGCTCATCAGATTTGGTGCTCCTGCATTGAGGAGCTGTCTGTCCTATGCTGCATGCACAGCTCGCAGCCAGCATCACCTTCATCTGCTCTGGAGCCTTCAGGAGCTGCCGCAGTACAAATGAGCAACGCAGCTCCATCCTGCTCCGCAGTCTGCTGATGGCATGCAGCCAGCTGACAGGCCGGACACCAGAGGCATTTGTCCATGGGCAGCAGCAGCTGCAGCGGGGCTGTCTGCAGACACACCCCATCCCTGCCTCACCTGGCGCTGTGCTGCTTATTGAGCTGCACCTGAGCAATCTCATGGGCTAAACAAAAGAACAGGCAGCCTGACAGCTTGATAAAACGTATCCCAGAAGCTGCAGAAAGCCTATTGATCAAGATTAGTGCCCACTTCAGAAACTGAATAAACAGCAGTAAATCTAATGTTTCACTCCTTCCAAATCACTGCGCCTCGTCGCCGGGGCTCCTGCTACGATGGTTATTCACAACATCAAAAAGCAGAGGTGGTTTCCTATCCCCGCACTACCATGACTGTGATGCTGACAGCCCAGCCCAGCACGGGGGGGGGAGGTCTGAGCTGGGGCTGCAAGGCCCCAAGAGCCTGCAGAGCTGCAGTAGGGGATTGGTGCTCCTGGGCATGCAGCCCCTGCACCAGATGCAGCCAGAACTCATCAGGGGAGCGGTGCTCACGCAGGCAATGGACCAATGCACCAACAGCACAGATAAGTGCTTGTCAAAAATCTTTTTTTAGGTTTTGCTTGCAGTAAAGCTGCTTTTACAGTCCATTTGCGTTTTAATTTCTTCAGCTCATATATTTTTTAAAGTCTGTTTCCTCTGGTTGGATTCATCGTAGGGCTTTTTTTAACGTATGTAGATGACTTCTTTTCATGCTGGCCCTGTTTTTCTGTATTTTAATGGCTCAGTAAAAAATAGCATTATGGAAATGAGAAAGTGTCCATTCTTGTTCAAGGTCACAAACCCAGATGGATTATAACCTTACCTGCTGCTTAAAATAACATTAAAGAGAGTAAGAACTCAATGCAACCCTGCAATTTATTCTTGTTCAGGAAAATGTAATGTACAGTGACAGAATGTATGCCATAAGGAGGATTTATATATGTATGTCTGTGTATACAGAAATAGCAGCTGAATATAGGTAGTGCCTGCGCTGTATCTCTGGCTACCTGCTCTGCATAGCAGTGTTACCACGAGCTCCTGACCCACACCCTTCCCAGTGAGGCTGGTCCAAGAAACCAGAGCTCCCCACCCAGAAGTCCCCCACCCCAACCCACAGAATCCTGAGGCAGCACCCAAATGAGCCCTGGCTGAGAGCCTCTGAACCTCTGATCTCACTCAGAAGTACAGTCAGAGGGACCACCTCAGCTGTGCAGGGACATTGAGGGCTCCCAACACAGCAGTGCACCCTAAGGAGCACGCAGGAGCAAAGCTGCTTTTAAAAAAAATAATGAGTTAATAACTAAATATACAAATATATGTGTATGTTTTTTTTTAAGAGGCTCTAACCCCATGGGAGCTGAGCCTTCCTCTCTGCCCACTGCTCCAAGTAGGCTCCAAGAATCACAGAATCGTTACGATTGGAAAAGACCACCAAGATCATCCATTCCAACCACCAAGCCACCACCCCACGCCCACTGACCACGTCCCGCAGTGCCACATCTCCACGGTTCCTGAACACCTCCAGGCATGGTGACCCCACCACCTCCCTGGCAGCTGTGCTAAATTTACATCTCTGAGCACAAAGTGTTTAGCCATTATTTACAAGCAGAACAAATGTATTCTTACAGGAGGAAGGAAAAATCCATCGCAGTCCAACATCAACGTATTTCCTGTTCCGCCAACCTCAGGTGTGTCCAACTGGCCCTCACCATTTATACTGAACTGCAGTGAGGTCTTTTTCCACACTACATTCAGCCATTGAGCTTTCCTCAGTCAGTCAGTCACTGAGAACCGGCGTACTTTTGCCTTTCTCAAATCTCTGTTACTCCCCTACTTTATTCAGATTTCTTTACTGCAAGCCAAGCCCTTTAATATCATCCATGTAGCAGCCCTTCCCAGCACACAGACAGTTTTAATCACTACAACTTGATTCAGCTGCCTTGACCCTGAAGCTCTGGGATTATCAGTTAGAATTAGGGCTTGCTTAAAAACCCAATCATACACTGTTCTGTTTAGGTTTTAAAACCTGCTTTGGGCCAATTCTGGCTCAGATCAGTCTTCTGAGCTGCGTGACAGTTTCTTCTTCATATATAGATCTCTATTGTCCAGAGAAGTCCAGCTCATGTCAGAGCTTCCCCCCTTCACTGCCAGTCAAGAGCTCACAGGATGAGACGAGGCAAGGTCTGGGAAAGCTTCAATGGCCAGCACAGGGCAGGCTGAGAGACCATGGAAAAATGAAACCAGCGCTGCCTGCCCCCTAAGGCTCTGAGGGGGAGACTTACCACTGGATCAGAGCAGCGCTCACCGCAGCTGCCTCCAGACTGCTGTCCTGAGTCTCTGCAGAGCTGCCCCTCCAGGCACCCAACATGGAAGGGGCCATTTCCTTCACCTGTAACCATCTGCCCAGTTATGCTGAGCCCCCACACCTGCAAGATTTCAATACCATCTAATCTACCCTGCTACCTTCTAGGACTAACACGCAAGGCCTTACATCTTCCTGTGACGATCCTGAGAATCGCAGAACGGCTTAGGTTGGAAGGGACCTTAAAGACCAGCTGTTCAAACCCTGCTTGTGGTTAAGACTGGAAACAAGAGGAACTCCCAGCCCTCCCAGGCTAACATGAGTCATGCCGAGCCCCGATGTCCCCCAGCAGAACAGAGCGCAGTGCCACCAGGAACAGGCGGTGAGCGGCCCGTGCCCCAGGACCTGCCAATGCCACCTGACAGAGCGAAGGCTGGTGGCTGTACCCCAGGATGACTGGCATTTCAGCAGGGAGGGGCTGACTGCACAGTGCTGTGTGGCTTCATTCATCTGCTTACAGCACAGCACTAATGGTGATGGCATTCAGAAGCCTGCCATACACCGTTCAGTGCAGTCTTAAAAACAGAACGGTCACTCAGGTATGCATGTGCTACTATGTAGAATGCACTACATTAATTTTTCTTTTACTTATTTCTTCAGTATGTCACAAACAAACAAGAAAAGATTTATAAATACTAATTTTTGAGGTATAACTGAATAAAAGAACGGGTAAGTAGCAGGGTGCTGGGGGTTGTCACTGAAAGCCTTGACTTTGGAGTTGAATGGAAGAATCAAACGCAAGTGACATACAAAGCAGAGCCCACGTATCTCCACAGTCACGTAATGATGTATATACAATAAGGATGGCATGATTTTAGTGTAATATACTCCACCACAGATAATATGTGCTCATCTGGCTGAATTACCGTAAGACCTCTGCCTGACTCTCTCCCTGACCACTGTTTCTGCCCAAGTGCCTGCTGATTAATGTGCCCTTCAGCAAATGAGATAGGCTCTGTCTGATCAGATTAGTTCCTGTTCATTGGAGAAACTGAGCATCAATCACGTTCTAATCAGAGCTCACGAACATTGATTTTTTTGTAAGCAGCCTCACCATCAGGTTCTATCATTGCCTACGCTAACTCCTTAACAATGACAAAATTAATAAAAACTATTTTATCCCAAGTAATAAGCATGCTTTCATTTTTAAATGAACAAGCTTTTCACTTTATCTTGTCACCGTAAACTCTGCAAAGGATAGAAGTAACATGTTTAGAACTGCAATTATTACTGCTATGAATATGATTTAATGCCATAAACATTATATTATAGCATCTCTTAGGAATACCACAGTTAGTAAGCATTGCTTACCTTTAGCAGAAAGGCTTTGTTGAAAAACATACACCAAAGGATCAAAGTAAGTGACTTAACTATTCAAATGAACTGCTCTCTAATAGCTGCTGGTACCCAAATGTAATGTAAATTATGATCCACCAAAGCCAAAATGATCTTGTAGTATGTAGCAAAATGATAAAATGTTTGTTGTGCACAGAAGCAAGGAGCTCAGAAGACTGAATATGAATTTCATCATCTCAAAAGATGAGCATCAGCACTGGTATATTTGACTCTTAAAAGAAACAACTAAACTAGAGCAGACCCTTATCTTCTGTCAAACGTTCCAGCCACTCTACAGAATGCCTCCTTACACTAAAGAGCAGCATATTGTGCTTAGTGACAGATCTGGTAATTGTGCAAGGCTAACAACCCCCTGATGTTTGGGCAGTACAACAAATTAAGCCCTCACAGTGCAAGGCTTCCACTTAATAATTACTTACTGCGCTGATCTTTCTGATCTGTCAGGTAGGAGCTAAAATATTACACTCATTTTACATCCTGCTATTAAATAAAACTTGTGTTATTAGCAGGCAGCCATTCAGACAGTGGTCTTGCTTCATCAGCGTGGATGGCAGCACTTCATGCGATGAAGGCAGAAGGACTCTGAGCCACGTGGCTGCCCATCCTGCACAACATACTGGGAACTCCCTCTGAGGATAGGCAAAATGGTCTGAAAGGACCTGAATGGCCTGAATGTTTGTTCAGGTTTCAGAATATCTGAATTATTTGATTTGTCCCTGTTCATTGCAGGGCAGCTGGACTAGATTACCCTTAAAGGTCCCTTCCAACTCAACTGATTCTGTGTTTCTATTCTATGATTGTGTGATTCTTCATATCAGATTTAGACAGCGGTCAGCACCACTGAAAGGCTTTTACTTTGGTATTTCCAGTAGAACCAAACTACCAGGCAGGACCAAGCAGCACTCAGAATCTCTGGAGTCAACCCATTCTCTCATGCATGATGTTGGGAGGTCAGAGAGAAGCTCCAAAACCAGGCTCTTCCCCTCATATTTTTGTGGGTTGTTCCCACTTTCTGACCACACTGAAAACAACTGCTGGTATCCCAAGTGCAATGATAATCTAGGAAGCATGTTGTCCAGGGTGGTCCATCTACATCTTTTTAAATGGCCTGCAGTTTGTATCATGGAGTACACTCAACACTGAGTTAATCCTGGTGAGCAAATATTACCGAGGCATGCATCCCTGCTCCCTGTGACATGAGATGGACTGCTTTCCCCAAAGGTGAGGCTAAGTGAGCTGAAGGCACAGCTCCAAGCTCTCTGAGCATGCTAAACTGACTGGCAGCACTTGCCTTTTGGCTCCCAGCTGTACTGAGCCAACGAGTCACTGTGTGCCATGCAAACCTGGCTTGTGCCCCCTCTCTCATGCATTCTACAGTCTGCTAATCCCTTCCATGGAGTATGAATGTCCCCATGAGTTGTTTTCAATTGGCAAAATGGAATTTCGCGCTTTCTTCCAGCTAAAATCCTCACCTTACTTTATACTCCTGGATTCACTCATTTTTATCATCCCTGTCCTCTAGGCTGCCTAGTTCTTATAATGCAACATCCCCACTGCCCAAAGTACCACCACTATCTGCGAGCAATAAGGTACTGCTGAATTCCACCCTCCCTCTCTCTCCTTCTCATTTGTGTCAGTATCTCTTGTGAAAAGATTTAACAAGATGCTGTAATCAAGATACACACAGGACCCACTCCCTGCATTCATAAAACCGAGGAGCACATAAGGTATAAGCTGCAGAAGAATCAGTGTGAAGGTGGCAGCAGTTTGCAGAGAATCAGTGGTCTGTCTCTGCTTTTTCTCTCTCCCCATTTTCAATAAGTGGACTGGATTTTGGAAAGAGCTCATGTAAACGCAGGATCACACGTAAGCTTCCTCAGTACGCTGCTGAGACTGTGTGCATCACCTGCATTCTTTTCAATTCTTGTACCTACCTTTTTAGGCAAAAAAAAAAAAAGAATTTGTTTTCCCATAAGGCATGAGCCAAGATTAAAAATATATATATGCATCATGTCCATGGATGCTGGAGACAAAGCTACACCAATAACCACGTGCCTCCTATCAGCCTGAGCGCAACCATGCAGAGATAGAAATTTATATGGAAAATAACCATACGTAATGCCTTACTTTTCGAGTGGTCCATCCTATGGAGGGTGCTCTTTTGCTAAATGAAGGCAATGGTGGACATAAGGATGGATTACCTGTCTGATCCATTCCACGCACATTCAAACTTGTCAAAGATGCAGTCGTTTTCATAGAGGGAACACAACTTGCTCCTAAGGTAATCGTGGACCTGTTTTGTAGAAAACAGCAGCTGTGATCCATGAAACAACACAACCAACTCCAAAGCCAGCCCCCTACTCCCTGCTTTATCTCTCGCAGTCACTTGCAAATTATGCTGCACAGATTGGTGACTCTGCAGAAGATACTGTGTTTAAAGAAGCTATCCACGCCTTCCCACAACCCAATTAACCAGGTGCTGCAGAATTATTGCTGCAGGAAGGCATGAAGCATACCTTCCTCAGCAGGCTGCAAACCACCCCTCCACAACACACTTGTTTCTCGCTTGGCTGATTTTCTCAATGCCAGCCTAATTCCCAAAGATGTTTCACCACCTGATGCCCTAGATGTGCTAATTAACGTGCACGAAATCTAATTTAAATTGTAACAAATATGTCACATTCCAAAATAAGTGGATTATCGCTTCTTGTGGCAGAAGGAACCTGGCTCCATTTAAAGAACCTGTCGCGTGTGGTAATACATACATTTGGGTAAGGTATTTCAGAAGCAAAATACAGCACTAGGCTGCAGTTCCATAGGCTGCGAATTAGAACACTAATTTAGCCCAAGGACATTTACTATTTGGCTGAGACTTAAAAACAACACTGTACATCCTCACATAAATACTTGAAAAGTGGGATTAACCAGGAGAAGACCTCTCCTCTGGGTTGAATAAGAATTCTCATAAAGAGACAGACCTCACGCAAACTGTTTCAGCCCTTTGCTGAATTTGATTAGTTTTCCTTCTGGATGATTGGTTTCCTTTTGCATGGAAATAATGAGCTAGAGAACCCCTGCCTAGGTGAATTTATGGATGCGCTCTCATTCCTGGTGTTTTCTTCTAGCAGTTGCAGAAACTGTAAAACAAAGCTGTGTGGAGGGCCTCCAGGGACACACAGCAACCCGACAGCACTGCTGAGCTCTGGCACAGGGGCACTGGCTTTGTGGGTCCATACAAACTGCTCTGTTCCTGGCCATCTGAATAAGGGTCTGCTGACTGCTATTCTTCCTGCACACCCCCAGCACCCTCCTCTGCCCTGAAGAGCATTTACCTCATAGGTCAGAATATTCGGAACTGATGCAGTTTATTGCACCCTTTGTAATTAAATCCTTCCACTTTCTCTTTACTTAGAGCCTTTTTGTGCTACCACCATCATTTACAGAACTGGAGCTCTTTCCATTACCACGTTTGTGAGCTCCCAGTACGTGGAAGAAACACAAAGGTTAAGGCAGGTAAAGAAAGCAGATGATATTTGCCTGCTGACTGCCATTTCTAGGCCTCCTTAGTTCCCACTTCCAGCAGCCATCTGTCATGACCACTGTAATGCACACACCCTCTGCAATGCGTGTCCGACTCCACAGCTCAGAGCTGTGCCTTTCATCAGCTCTGCCAAGAAGCATTTTGCATATTCTCTCTCGGTTGTCTTGCTGATTTCCTCAAGGTCTCAGCCCCTTTTTCTTGGCTGACTCCCAAATGGCCTGGGACAGCAGACTGCTCTTCCTGTTGGCCCTTTGGTCACCACATTTGACCACATTCAGACCCTCAGAGACTAGGAAAATCCAACAGAAAGCACTTAACTTTCACCTTGCATTCATGCTCATCTGCCACAACAGACTGGGGGTAAAATCAGATTTGCTTCATCTGTGCACATTGTTCTTTCCACATCCCAATCCCAATCAAATTCATTACTAACCCCAGGCATTCTCCCTTCCTTCACTGTGCTGTTCTAGGTCAGACCTTCATGGAATTATCAAGTCATTTTCTGCTATGGAATTACACAGCAATACGACTACGTGGGGAGCTATTTCACTGGGACCAACTATTAACAATCAAGAATTGTGCTTAAGTGACACATTAGTCCAAATCCCTACACAATAAACCCTGCCAAAAGCGGATCAAGCTATTATCAGCTCCAAACATATTCACCTCTGGTAGCTGCTGGTATGGTTCTGCTGGAATCATTCACCTGGGCAGCAGGAAAAGAGCGTCCTTTCAGGCAGGGATGCCTTGCAATGTTCAAGCACTGGCAACTCTATTGTATTGCTCTCTGTGCTGTCCAGGGCACCATACTCTGCCTATTTTTTTTTTCTTCTATGTGAAGCATAAACAGAAGACAACCATGTTTGAATCACTGTCAGCAGATAAAGTGTTTCTGCAACAGCTGCTTGATGCAATAGCAGTCTTTTGGCCACAGCACTGATAACAACTCTGCAGCTGAAAAAAGATCAGAGGTTGCTGAGAGCGGTTGGACTGTGTGAATCCTACACGGCCCTATGCTATGGGTTTCCTAAGGCCTCTGAGCTGTGGGTTCTCCTCATTGGGTTACAGCACCTGACACTGCATCTGCATGCTCTTCACAAAGCACTGAAAAAGAAAGGCAATCTCTGGATTGAAGTAATGCAGCCAGAAGACAGTTCTGTTCTCTTTGTTCTGACTGCAATACCTAGTACTGAGAAATTCACATTATAATCAATTTCCACATCTCAGCATGGAGAAATGTAACTTTTTAATTGGCCCCACTGTTGGGTGTCAGACTGATTTAAAGGTGGCCAGCTTGCTTCATAGCTAGCAACAGCAGGAAATAAAAGCAGATGTCAAAGCCAAGATGAACAGGTTGGCTTGACCAGCTATTCCTCTCTGGGGAGAAGGTTGCCTACTCCATTAGCATGAATGTAAAATAATATATTATCTAAGTTCCTAAAACCTGAGATACAATTCTTTTCTATAAAACACTGTCTCACTCTTACCCTCCCCACTCGATTTTTACAGCATATCAACTTTTCAAACACATTTAGCATTGCAAACACTGCCATTTTCAGAGCAAAACCAATTCTGTCATTTTAAAGATACACAGGCTCAGAGTTCCCAATGCTAACAGGAGATACAGCACAGGGTATCCACTGAAATGCAACGGGTGCACTGGAAAACATTGCCCACATTGTCTACTGAACACTTTCTAATAACCACCTCCAATACTACTGATGGTTGTTTTGACAAGACTCACCACCAAATTCTCCTTATATATTATGTTAAATATAATCTTCATAGTAGTTACTGTGAACTGCTGTGCCCCACTTGCCACTGGACACGAAGTTCCACAGTACTGCAGGACCATCTCTATGCATAAGCCACATGAAAGACATTTTCCCTTCTTTTCACATTCTTCTGTAGGTAGCTTAACAGCTTTTTCTCACTGCATGTTTGTTACAGGCATTTTCTGTGTCCCAGACACATTGTCCCTTTTGAAGGCAGAGTCACAAGCTCAGACTTCCACTGCCAACTAGAACAGATGTCAGAGCACAAACGCAGCACTGGCTGCAGCCACTGGCATTTTGTCTGGATAATATCACAATGAATTCAGGCAACCAGATGTGTCTGTCTGGCATTCACGAAGTGCTGTGTCAGTGGTAATGTCAGGGTTTAACAACGATCTCTTTTAGAACTAGGCACGAGGGAGAAATGTATAGTGAAGTTTTGAAAAAAGTTCTGAAATGATAAAGGTGTAAACTCTCAGCAGTCCCAGAGGGAGCAGAACGCTAATCAATTCACAACATCCTTTCCTCACTTGCTTTCAAATGTTAATAGTAGAATACATCAACTGAAAATGGATGCCAAAGTGAAGAGATGATTTCCCTTGCTGGAAGCATTGTTTCTCTTTCAAGAGCCCATTCCACACTGTTATCCCGATTCCCTAGGAGTTGCACATCTTTCTTTACTACTGCTGAAATTGTCCTTTTGCAACTGCAAGGATTCCAGTATCAGCACTTCAATCACAATGGTTAACAACTCTTAACTTGCAGTTACTCAAAGCAAGCAGGAAAAGCTTAAGAAAACCTACGGTTTTTTAACAGAGAAATGTTTTTCTATCATTGCATTTCAGTGAAGAGGTGGTCAGTAGGAGACACCTACCTGGTACGTTTCTACAGGCTTTGTTTCCATGTTCAGATCCCAAACCTTGACAGTGAGGTAATCTCTTGTTAGCATGTATCTACCGCTGTGACTGAATTTGACATCTGACACTGAAGAGATAATTTCTGAAAAAAATGATCTATTACTGGGGTCTTCTGGTTCTTCATAAACTGTTTAAAGAAAAAGAAGCAAGGGAGAGATCAGAATTCTACAGAAGAAACACTTTGTTACACAACCTGTACTGTGTATTTCTTGTGAAAGAAGGTAATCCATTACACAGAAGCACACAAAATAGAATTAATTCTATGCCCAGCACCTTTATCCTTTCTCTTTCATCTTTCTATGAAGATTATCTTATCTTCATATAAAAATACAAACATAAGCTTCAAATTTACAGTAATTAACCTTATCACTGTGGTCCCAAAGCATCTCTTTGGGAAACTACATAAAATACAGCATGCAGTTGACTACAGCTACAGAACAGCAAGGCTGCTCACCCGTGGGCATCCATCCTGGGGTTCCCACATCCTGTTTTCTTGAACGTAACAAAAAATGCAGTTGTTGCTGTCACACAGGAGGTGTACAAGGGCCATGACACCCCTGTTGGTTGTCTACAATAATGATATTGATGACTCATGTTGAATTGCCATTATTGAAACAACTCTTTTTTGTGAACCTCACCTCGTTTGTTACAAGCCCATTATACTAACCAAGATCTCTTCATCCTTCCCCAAAAATCCCTCACAAATTCTAGCCCTGCCAGACCTCGGAACCGAGGAGACCAGGTGGTGCTGGTGTCAGGTCCTATAGCTGGACACAGATGGCTGAAGAGAACATAAAGGCATAAGTCAACTCCTACAGGAGCTCTGGGCCATTCCATGGCCTTTCTACAGAACTCTGTAGCCCTGTGATTCAAATGACCTCACGTGGTGAAGTTCAGCAGGAAGTCAAAATTTCAGTCCTTCAGTTACCAGTAAAATCCTAGAATTACGAAGGTTGGAAAAGACCTCTAAGATCATCCAATCCTCCAACTGTTCACCTATCACCAATGTTTCTTGCTAACCATGAAATCATGTCCTTCACTACAACATCTACATGTTTCTTTAACACCTCCAAGGCCAGAACCATGCTGTGAGTCAGTATGGTTCTGGCAGCTATGTCTAGAATATTCTTTGAAAACTGGCAATTTGGTGAGCCTGACTTCCAAGTTACAAAAGCAGGTGAAGAAAAGCCATTTCACAGAATCACAGCATCCTTAACATTGGAAAAGATCTCCAAGTTCATCAAATCCAACCATCAACCCAACACCACCATGCCGTCTAAGATGAGATGTGCTGAAAGTAGAACAACTTTTTGCTGTCAGTCAAAACAGACTTTTTTGTGCAGTCCATTGGGATGTTTTTTTTTCTCAGTTCATTTATCTATAGCTATGATTCAGCCTGTTGAAAGCAACAGGGTTACACTTTCCATCAGGTGAAATAATCAGTTAAGGGTGAGTATGTGGGCGATGGATGAGGGGGTAATGCAAAAAAATGATGGGTAATTTTCTTTGGGGGTGTGCAGCAGAATGCAGCCAGGCATGCACATGGGAATAAGGTCTATATTTGTACATGTACAACACTTCTAAATGGCTCTGAACTATTTCAAAAGAGGGGGAAAAACTTTTCAGACAGACTGTAAACGAGCAACTTTAAATAGCTCTTTAAAAATTTGCCTAGACATTCTGCAAAGTAGGTATTTTGTAATTATCCTGTCAGATTTTCAATAGAATTCTGACGAGCACGAAGCAATTATCATTTCTCGTGCCTCTTGCCTTTAATCTGTCCAAACTACGTACTCGGTTGGCAAGAATTTCATCCTCCTAATTATGATGTGAAGTTGCTATTAAAACCAGAAAAGAAAAAGAAAACCTAACTGAACTACACCTTCATTTAGAGCTTAGATGTGTTTTCTCAGTTCTATGTGTCTCATCCAACTGCCAGTGATTAGAAGAGAAGTAATATTTGTACCTGGATGCTCTGTGTTTTGTTAATTAATGATATTAAGCCATTTCATCCCTTATCTGCACTGTTTATTGCTTTTCTAGCCTCACCACAGTTAATATTAGAATGACTTAGATTAATTAAGCTGCACCAACTACTGCAGGCATAAAAGCCCAATATCACTGCAGGAAGAAAGGCAGCAATTCTATGAGCAGAATTTCTTTGCAGGTATGCCCTACAGTAGCATAACTAAAGGAGGAGAATTGTTAAAGGAAATCAGGAGAAACTCGGTGTTACAAAGGAAGTGCAGCAACTACAGCATGCCTAACAACAGAACAGGGCACTGAGTGGCCTCGGGAAATGAAGGTGAGACAGAGCACTTATGGTTCAGCTATCTGTGGTTTAGCATCAATGCAAGGGAACATGCACACTGCAAAAAGGCACACTGTCAGAATGGCTAATAAAGCTAGGCAATTGGAGGTAGAACAGTAATGAAGGCCATGTGCCTGGTATGTTAATTCAGGCAAGCAACACAGATCTCGCTGGACTAGAATTTGGATTCTGAACTTTACTGAGATTTGATTGCAAAGTCTACTACACCCCCCAATTGATTTCTTGATTAATTTCTAGGGCAGACACCATTCCTGCAATCTGCAGTCCCTTTCTGCCAGGCTTCCTGCTCCCAACTTGAAAACCAGGGTAGCTTTGCACAGAATTCCACACTTTGGGCAGAAGGATGGGCTGGGAGAGGAATACTTGCCAGAGCAATGTTTTCCTGAATTCTGAAGAAAGCCCGAGGCATAAAAATATGTTCTTTCTCAAAAGGAGCTGCCATCTGGTGAAAAGCTCTCATCTCATTTAAAAAACGATGATTGTTACTGTGCCTTGGACTTCTATGACCTAATGTAGACTATCGGTGGTTGTGAAAGGCACTGCCAAAGCGTGCACTTGCTGTGCAGAAATATATGCAGATATCTACAGTTTTATCACAGGAAAGTGATCAATCACACAGCATCAGTGCACACACCACTGAAGAATGGCAAGCAGACTGTAACTAAGTGATATTTTAGGAGTCAACCAGCTATGAAACCCTAGCAATAGACAAAATATAACGTCAGCCTCAGAAAAAGGCTCATGGCCTCAGAAAAGATTTTTCTCTTTTTGTTGGTCCCATTTCCAAAAGTTCACATTTTTGATGCAGTCACCAATACCACTGAAAATTACTATTTTGTTTGCAGTCCTGAGCTTTAGTCACCACAGGGTCTACATTCTGGCACATGTTGTATGGTAACTGTTGAGTCACAGCCTGAACCACTGATTGAGCACCTGGGGAAAGGACCTGGTGAGCCTTGAGAGCACAGGCAAAGGCAATTCAGCTGTGTGACTTGAAGGGCTGCAGACTGGCTGCACCTCTCTTAGACCTCGTTTAAGTGCTGACTGCCACTGGGGAAATGTCTCTGGTTGGAGATCCATCTCTTGTGGGGTTTTTCCTGTGAGCCTAGATCTTCAGAGATAGGTAAGTACCTTTACTTCTCCTTTGAAATACTATCCTATCCATGCTAGTCCTTTTGCTGTTATACTCCTGTATCACCCATCCACTACATGATTGTAACGTGAATTTTAAAAAACAATAATGCTAAAGATGGCTTATAGGGTAGGTGCAGCATCACAGCCCAAAACAGCACACACGATCCTGTATTCCTCCCCAGATCATCACAAGGAATACAGGTGATCCTTTATGCTGTATTAATTATATTAAAGGCTAATGCCTCGGCAAAATTTTCAGAACTCCTCTCACATCCCTTTTCCTCTTGCCTTCACTCCTACCCAGATGAAACAGAAGCATGAGCTCTTCACAGCACGGCTGCAAGAGAGATAGTTCCCAAATTCAAATGTGAATAATGTCTTTCAAAGCACAAAGAATAAGAGATCTATTAAAGGGAAAGCAATAACAGTATCTGAGATAATATGGGGCAAGGGATTAAGAAAGCTATCTATTTGATATGATGAAAGTTTATCTGGAGGTACTTTGTATTTTCTACAGGAATTCATAAATGTATAAGGGCTTGATGGCATAAAAGAAAAGCCAACTATAATCAGTTAAACAAATCTTTCATTGCTTTTGAAGGGGAGAAATGTAGAGTATAAGCTTTGGGAAAATGTTGTTATTGTGGCCTGAGCACTTGATGATAACTGCAGAGGTTTACTGTGAAGTATCAGTAAACAAAACAAAGAGAGAAAGAGAGCTGGCAAGGGGAAGGCTCTGATAATACTGTGTACTCCTTGAAGCATGAAAACAGGAACCTTGAAGATGTTTGTTACTACCAAAAACCAAAAGCACAACTGTAGACAAAAATAACTTTTTGCTATTACAGAGCCAAACAGATTTAAAAAGAAAACCAAAGATGAATCATGCCTACATGTATTTCAGAACACATGATTAGCTGAAAAGAAAACAATAACACCTAAGGATGATGCCTTAGCAGCTTCACAGAGTTGGTAAGAAATTTCATAGGACAAAAATTATAACCAGTCTTATAAAATATAACATAGAACAAAGGTTCTCTTCCAGCTATGTTCTATTTAAGGGCAAAAACCTTCCTGAGATTCTTCCTAGAGAATACTGTTAAAAGTTTGTATTCTGCCCTGAGAACATCTATTTGTACAAAAAAAAGGATGAAAAAGTGAAACTGGACTACTGACTACTCACTGCTTCTCCTGTTTAAAAACAAACAAACAAACAAAAACCTGCCATAGATATTGAAATAATAGGTGTCTGTAGTTTTCACACGTACAGTCGATGGCACTCGAAGGATCCGGCATTACGTAGGCTGTAGTACCTGGAAATCCTGCACCGTGAGCTCCCAGCTCCCTGCCTCCTTTCAAAGACAGTTAACAGATGTTCAACATTCTCCAGCTCCTGCTCAAGGGTCACGACTACGGACTGGTGAAGACAGTTTAGGGGAACTCCAGAAAAAAAGGAGGGCAACTATTACTTTTCAGAAAGGGTGGTCAGGCACTGGAATGGACTGCCCAGGGAGGTGGTGGAATCACCGACCCTGGGGGTGTTCAAGGAAAGGCTGGATGTTGTGTTGAGGGACATGGTTTAGTAGGAGCTATTGGGAATAGGTGAACGGTTGGACTGGATGATCTTTTAGGTCTTTTCCAACCTTGGTGATTCTATGATT